ACCCACTCCTTGCCACCGTATGGGTGACTGAGAATATTTGGGACTGGCGTGCTGACAGACCACACCACAGCACTGCTCACTGCCCAGGCGCAGCAGGATGCTGGCCAACAACTCCAGCATGGGAGGAGGATGACGCTGACCTCCCTCAGCAGCGTACAAGGGCCCAGCACAGGCCTCACCTCGAGGCTTCATCCCTGGAGCGGGGCAAGTGGTTGATCCCTGCAGGAATCTGGTTCTGCAGGTGCAACAACAGGAGGGCTGGGCCGTGCGCTGGGGAGCGTTTCAGAGCTGGCTGTACTCAAAGGGCATCTGAGAGCTTTAGAACATTCTGGGGTTTTGTTTGTTTGTGTTTTAGGTTATTATTTTTAAACATCACATTAACCAGTCAAAGAGCTCAGACTGCAAAGGTGGGATCCCAGAGCACTCACCCCATGGGCTGCGTGGTCCCAAAGCCAGTCACCCCATTAATCCCCAGCCTGTCCTCCCGCAGTCAGCACGCCACGAGCAGATTACTATCTTTCCAGATGTAATCATGCTTTAGCATCTTATTTCAAAATTTTAATGGGTAAAAATTCCCTATCTCGATGCAAGATTGCATCATGAATTCCCTCTGCTTTGTACAGTGAGGATGGAAAAATACTACTTTTCATCCTCGCACAACGCTTGATATAAGTTTCTGAAAATGAGCACTCTAGTAAACCTAAAAAGGCAGAATAAGATGGTTCATTTATAGATCTCTGGTAATAGATGTGGTTTCTGTTACTCTGCTACCACATCAAAGATTGCTCCTGCTCCTCCAGGAAGGACACGGCACCCTCCTCCTCACCAGCCATTACCATAAAGCGGGATAAACAACAAATACCACCTCTCATCAGCCACGCGGAGCAGCTCCCATTGATTTATGATGCTAAACACTGAAGGGTTTGATCAAGCTGTAAGTCCCCTTTCTGCAAATTTTATTTTCACTACATCTTCGTAAAACATAGGGAGCCACCTCATTCGGGTTTTGGTTTGTTTACAAAACGTGTTTTATAACTTAGAGGAATTCTTACCGATATTAGTTATTAACAACCCCGAACTGGCATTTGCATTTTTATAACCTTGTTACTTAAAAGTGAAACAGTAGAAGGAAAGACTTAGTGATAGTGTTCCCTGTGTGCTTTAATCCCAGCCTGAGCTTTTTATGCTTGAGAGCACCTTATGATGCTGTAACTAACCTCAAACCTGGAGCAGCAGGAGGGCAACAAACCTCCGAATACAGCAATGTCATGCTTTACAGGCATACTCTCTGCAACAGCATGAATGAAGGGAAAAAAAAAACGGTTGCCTAGGAAACACTCTAGTCTTGGTAATTATTACTGTAACTGTCTGCACACCCCACCTATAACAGAAATGAATAATAAATTATAATCACTGACTGGCAGCTTTCCGTTGTTGCTTTTGCTCAGCACTGCTACCTACCGGCACACAGAATTAATTACAGAGCGACAGCAGGGCCCCGTGCACAGCCACGGCCGCCCACTTGCACACTGGTTTGCACGCCCGCCCCGCTGACCCCTGCTCCTGCCTCCAAGCGTCCAGTGCTCCTCTGGGCAGCGCATGGGGCCACGTAAAAATCCGCAAAAACTTGTTTCAACCATGACGGATTTCGTGTGTCACCAAGCAATCGATAACAAAAGGATTTGGTTTTGCTGGCTAATAACGTGTATTTTAGGGCCCAGTGAAACACTGCTCAGAAGTGGTGAATGTGGTCCCGCAGGATTTGTAACAGGTATTTTCTATTGGGTACTTCTGATCAATTTAACTCCATAATCAACAAAGATGCTCCATTTATCTTAGGTTGTCTAATTTGCAATACAGTGTTAAAGTACTTCTATTGGAAGACTAGTTTGTTTAGAAATTAGAACACTCAGAGTGATTTACTGGATTTGATTTAAAAGACTCAGCGGGAGTTGGCAAAATTCACATATCATGGGGTTAATGTGGGTTAGAATGGAGCTATTTGTAATACAAAAATATTGCATACCAAATACACACATCTGATTTCTTTTAATCCCAGCTCATTTTTTGCAACATAAATCACTTTGTTAAAATGAACAGCTAAAACAGCTGGTTTAGACACTCTTGAAACATACAAAAATCTGCTGCTTTAGATTCTCTACGTGAGCAATGAGAAGCGCTAAGTGCAACTAGTCTTACAGGAGGGAGAAGACATAAAGCCAGCTAACCTCTGTGTTTGCAACGATGCCGGTGGCCCTGCTGGTCCCTTCCTTCACCTCCACCTTCTCCAGCTTCTGCTCCAGGGGAACGACCTCACACAAGCCCTTCCCTGTGCACAGGCAGGTGCCCAGTGTGCTTGGGGCAGACTAAAGAGGACTGGGAGTCTCCAGTCTCCAGTCTCCAAGTCTCCAAGCTTGCCTCCTAACCAGGGGTGAAAGTGGAGCAGGTGATTTGCGGTGCATAACTGATGCAATCAGGGCTCCGGGAAGGGCTGTGCAGGGCATGGTGGAGATGGGTCAGTGCCTGCAGGCACCACAGCCCCAGCACCAACACCTCACCTCTGTCCTGCCCACTGCAGTCACACCAGTCCTCTCAGGTACACCAGGAAGACCCCAAGCCCCTTTCTTCCTCCCTGTGCCAGGAGGCTGGGCAGCACTGCAGACACAGTACACCAGGAGCCCTTCCTGCAGCTGGGAAACTCAGCAAGGACATTAAGAAATCAAGTCAACCATACCCTTATTGAAGTGAAAAAAATCTCTAACTTCAGAACTAGGAAAAAAGACACTCCTACTGATATTCATTTACTACCAAGAATCTTTGGTGCCTCAAATTGTGGGCACCGTGTTTAAGACAGCTTACATCCTCCATGTGTTGGTGGCCACCTGCGTTCACTTTTTGGCTTCTGTGTGGCACAAACAGCAGATTTTCAGTCCTCATCAAGGTAGGCCTTTTTTTTCCTCTCTCTGGATTTTTACCTACTTTCAAAGTTCTTTAACCACATTATTTTATTTTTTTTTCGATTAGCATTTCTGAACGTTCTCAAGAAATCCTCTAGCTATTTCTTCCTATAGGCACCACACAGTGAATATAATGGTAAAGTCCAAGTGAAAAGAGGTGAGACGAAGGATCATTCCAGCCCACAAACCCTTGGACAATTAAATATACTGCAAAAGGGCATAAGACACATTCAGGCTCTCTATTAGGAAGAACACTTGTGCTTAGTTTTAAGCATGTGGTTAAATCCATTCATCTCTGCAAAATCTTTGAGACATGAGCACATGCCAAAGTGAATTCCTGAGTAAGGATGCTTCCCTGAACCGAAGCCGTAATTCATTAAAACCCGGGGTGCATTCATCCTACTTTTTCCCGTGAGCAGGGATGTGAAAAAGAGGAGGGAAAGAAAGGAAAACAAGCAAAGAATTAATTTTGATTTGAAACTGATCTACGGTGACAAGGGGCATTTGGTTTTGTTCAAGTAACTAGAAGTGGAAAGCATTTCAGAAGATATCTAAATAACTCTTTTTAAAGTTGCCTTTTTTTTTTTTCTTCTTTCTTTCTCTTCTTTTCACTCTAATTACCCATGTCTGCTAGTCTTGGATCTCAACCCCTTGTTATTTAAAATACATATTCATGGCACTATATTTTACAGTTGCACTGTTCTGGTTACAAAATAGCTTCCACTTTTCTAGGACATAATTTCATTTTGTTTAGCCAAGAATTCATTAAAGAAGCTATAAATAACCTCCTTTAAATATTTAGCCGTGAATAGAGGGTGGACTGGCATTGATGGCTTATTTTAGTACTAATGCAATATGCTTTAAAAAAAATAAAAAAAAATTGAGCATGAATCAAGTTAATCATTAACACTTTCATCACTGTGATTCTCAAGATCTGCCTAAAACTGCGGTCGCCCTCTCCCGCCAAGCAAGCCCAGGAGCTGGCAGGGGCAGCTGCACACCTTCTGCAGCAGTGCCTCCCGTACCAAGGCACAATTTGCTCCTGCACCCCAGGGAAAATGCAGCCCCTGATGTTTGGTGGGCAAGGGCTGGGAGCGATCGGTGCCTCTCCGTAGCCACTGCTTCTCCCACGTGATCCAAGCAGGAGACTGCAACTGCAAGGCTCAGTTACTTCAGGAGAAGGTGAGGAGCAACATTAGCTGATGTCCTGCTCATGGATACAGAGGTCAAGCAGATGCTGTGGGCTCCCTGGCTGCATGTTGGCAAAGTCCCAGAGCTGCAGCAAAAGCAAATCCTTCTACCTTGCACGCCTTTCTGCCTCACTTTTTTAGACTTCGGTTCAATGATGTCAGCTTATAGCACTATTGGAAGTTTCTCCAACTCCCACACCCTCTGCCAGTGTTTTCCCCTGGTCCTTGCTCAACACACCGCCCCTCTCACTGTGCTGACACAAACATGCTGAGAAAGATTAGGCAACTCGCTAGGTTCAAAACAACATGCACAACTATTGAAACAACGACAACACCAAAACCAGTAGTTTGTTTTTGAAACCCGGCTCTGCTGCCTATTATCTATCATTCAAGGGGTGGCCTCAACAAAAGTTGTGTCAGCAGAAGGGATGGGATGGCAGGAAGACAGAAATGAATTCCTACAGCCAGGACCTGCTCTCAGTCCAGAAAACTAGGCACAAAATTGTACCCTAAGTGGCGTAGCACTGTCACATTTTGAAATAAAGTTGAAGCACTGAGACATTTTTCCTTAGTGCTGACTCCCTCTGGGCATTCCCAAGACAATTACAATGTTTTCTGTGCATACAAAAGAACTAGGAGGTTTTGTAATCATAGTCCAAGCTTATGCTTCTCTCTTTAAGAGCATTCAATTTTCATGGACATTCATTAACGGGAGGTTAAAACACAATGGCAGAAGAGAAGGCACTGCTTTTATGTCCACATGGTAGTAAACACTCCAAGTCGGAAACGTACGTTCAAAATAAAAACCTCTCCATGCTGTTTCCAAATTAGCAGTAAAACAACAGAAAACACACAACTTTCACAGCTTTTTTACTGAAAATTTAATTTTACAAAATACCCTTTTCCATCAAAGAAACTTCCCTGCAATGTACATGAACCCAGCATTTTATAGATCTGTACAGTGAGACATCAGAGAGGTTTGACAGAAGGAAAAAAACTTTTAGCAGACACCTAGTTGCAAAACCTACAACAATGGAAATACAAGTGTGTCTTAAAATGCTAAAGCAAGTAATGCAATATAATTGTTGGATCTATTTGAAATGTGAAAAGTTTCCTTAAAATGGTCCATATGGTACGCAGAACATCACAGCTGGCACAAAACTGACTGTATTTAGGTTTAAACACAGAAACAATATATGTAAGAAACATTTTTTGAAAAATAACCCAAGTGCTGCTATCATAAGGCAAACATACACAAAGGTGCTGACAGCATACAGGTAAATCAACAAAAAAGAAAAAGATGAATACTCAAGTGTTCAAACACTGAACTTTTTTTTTTATATGTTGCCAATAGAAGTTTGAAATATAAACAATGCCAAATCAACGTAGGACACCCTTTTAACTACCTTGGTGTAATGCATATAGCTTTACATAATCTCAACAAATGTTAAACTAGGCATTAATACAAATTTCAGCGGTCTAGGCAAGACCTAGTTAGTCTGTTGCATTCTGGCAGCTTTGAATTTTGAAATCCTCTTTGTAGTTTCTTCTGACCCTTCGGACAAAACTTCCTCTGACTTTCGCTCCAGAATGGTGGGCAGGACAGGGTGAGCAATGACTGGGTGTGGTATTACAGAGGGAGACAAAGGCTCCTTTTCTATAACAGTTCCAGAAAATGCCTACAACAGAAAAGAATACTCAAAATGAGCTAATAAAATGCAAATGTGAAGCTATGCCCATAAGGTCATTACCTTATATTAGCCTGATTAGGATTGTTATTTCTTTTAATCAAAAGTAAAGAAATATCTTTAAATCAATGATTGTTCCTTGCATAAGTAACCAAATTGTAATTAACCCCAAAATATAGCTTGTTCAAAGATGACTGAACGAAAGACAATGTCTTAAAAGTACTACTTAATCTCAATCCCACTGCATAAATTATCTAGAAATTTTCTTCCTCACTGAAATGTTCTCAAGAAATAAAACAGATGATGTAATATATAGTTTCATTTTGGATAACAAATTAAGAGATTTTGCAAAGTTAGAGTATGTCAGCATTTCCATCATACATCATATTTTATGACTTAATATCTTCTAATTGCATCAAGCTGATACACTGCATACAAATTGGCAAGCATGTATTTTATTTGTTCTTTCTCCTTACCAAATATGATCAAAAAATGGTCAAAGCAATTTATATTTAAGAGAATAGCAAACTTGTTTCCAACTATTTCTGTCTATAAAAGGTCCAATATACATTTATTTTTTAAAATGATAATTTATCTGCAGCCGATTATATGACTTAATCCTTTTACTTAACTAAGAAACAGCCATAACTATTGGAAAACATCTGAAAAAAGTAACTCGGAATTACTTTTCAGATTTTAGAACAAATCACCATATTATGTACTGAAAACACAGAATTCAGACTGTATGAGGACAAGGGGAAGCAGTTTACATCCAAGGTTTGATATCATACTGGGCACAAAAGAATGCACACCAGATTTATTAACTATGCTTAGTTTTGCTTATTCATAACTCAGTTACCAAGAAAAACAAAGCAAAACAAAAAAGCCATTCTTTTCTTGCAGGACCTGAAAAAAGCAGCTTTTTTGTTGGTTTTCTGCTCCAGTGGCCAAACTATGCCTAAAGCCTGTACACAACCGTGTTGTTCTAACAACATGCTCATTTTCAAAAACAGTAAGCAAAATACAACCTAAGAGGATCATGGTAAAATCAGATACAAAAAGGAAAAAATAAAAAAAAAAAAAGAAAACTTAGTGTGAGGCAAATGGTAATAAAGAAATAATGTATCTCGAACACCCACAAAAACGACCAAAAGCTCGACAGCACTTTAAGACGGCAGGTCTTTAACAGGAGTGTTTTATTCACTCTACTTCAGTTACTTAGAAAATACAGTATATCCTAGAGCATAATCACGCTGTAATTCAGAACGTGGACTACAATGTAACATCTAATGGGTACGTAGATGTTTTACAAAAATATAGTCCACAAAATTTGCAGTGTGAGGTGTGAGTTCTACAGATAGATCTTCCACTACGAATCTTCCCGTCCCACTTCTATTCATCTTTAGCTGTTCATATGAAAAATAATGATAAACAATAGCTTTCATGAGGAATTCACTTCTTGTCAAAAATATTTTTTCTCAAAAAGTTATTTTCGGTGAAGTTGCCCATTGCACTGAGAACTACAGAAAATTCACGGTAGCTTGAAACAGTCTAAGTTCTTACAAAATAAAAGTCAAGAATACTCTATGTCACAAATTTCAGGGCACTGGCTACATCTAATTCTTGCTTAATTCTTCCAGTCGCTGTGCAACTGTTTCCCCTTTTGCGGTACAGTCTCTTTCCTTTTCTTTCCTTTTCAGGAAAGCTTCCTGAGCTTTCCAAAAGCAGGAAAATACATGTTTGGGATCACCACTGGCCCTAGTTTGTAACAGGACGAGCAGAAGTGTAATGCTTCATAGAATCATAGAATATCCTGAGTTGGAAGGGACCCTTAAGGATCATCAAGTCCAACTCTTGACACCGCACAGGTCTACCCAAAAGTTCAGACCATGTGACTAAGTGCACAGTCCAATCTCTTCTTAAATTCAGTCAGGCTCGGTGCAGTGACCACTTCCCTGGGGAGCCTGTTCCAGTGTGCAACCACTCTCTCTGTGAAGAACTTCCTCCTGATGTCAAGCCTAAATTTCCCCTGCCTCAGCTTAACCCCGTTCCCGCGGGTCCTGTCGCTGGTGTTAATGGAGAAAAGGTCTCCTGCCTCTCGACACCCCCTTACGAGGAAGTTGTAGACTGCGATGAGGTCTCCCCTCAGCCTCCTCTTCTCCAGGCTGAACAGGCCCAGTGCCCTCAGCCGTTCCTCGTACGTCTTCCCCTCCAGGCCTTTCACCATCTTCGTAGCCCTCCTCTGGACACTCTCCAACAGTTTCATGTCCTTTTTATACTGTGGTGCCCAGAACTGCACACAGTACTCAAGGTGAGGCCGCACCAGCGCAGAGTAGAGCGGGACAATCACCTCCCTCGACCTACTAGCGATGCCGTGCTTGATGCACCCCAGGACATGGTTGGCCCTCCTGGCTGCCAGGGCACACTGCCGGCTCATATTCAACTTGCTGTCTACCACGACCCCCAGATCCCTCTCTTCTAGGCTGCTCTCCAGCGTCTCATCGCCCAGTCTGTACGTGCAGCCAGGGTTTCCCCGTCCCAGGTGCAGGACCCGGCACTTGCTCTTATTGAACTTCATGCGGTTGGTGATCGCCCAGCTCTCCAACCTATCCAGATCCCTCTGCAAGGCCTTTCCACCTTCATTCGAGTCCACAACTCCTCCAAGTTTGGTGTCATCAGCAAACTTGCTCAAAATGCCTTCTATTCCTACATCCAGATCGTTTATAAAAATATTGAAAAGTACCGGCCCTAAAATGGAGCCTTGAGGGACCCCACTGGTGACCGCCCACCAGCCTGACACAGCCCCGTTCACCATAACCCTTTGGGCCCTGCCCGTTAGCCAATTGCTCACCCATCGTATGATGTTTTTATTTAGCTGTATGGTGGACATTTTGTCCAGTAGGATCCTATGGGAAACCGTGTCAAAAGCCTTGCTGAAGTCCAAAAAAATCACATCAGCTGGTTTCCCTTGGTCCACCATACGGGTGATCTTAACATAAAAGGAAATCAGGTTAGTTAGGCAGGACCTACCCTTCACAAACCCATGCTGGCTGGGACCAATGACTGCTTTGTCCCCCAGGTGCGCCTCAATAAGTTCGAGAACCATCTTCTCCATGATTTTACCAGGCACTGACGTGAGACTGACAGGCCTGTAATTGCTAGGGTCTTCTTTCTGACCCTTCTTGAAAATCGGCACAACATTTGCCAGCTTCCAGTCTACCGGGACCTCTCCAGACTCCCAGGATCGTTGAAAAATAATTGAGAGAGGTTCCGCGATGACGTCCGCCAGCTCTTTCAGCACCCGGGGATGAATCCCATCCGGACCCATGGACTTGTAGGGATCCAGGTGGAGTAGCAAATCCCGCACACGTTCAGGGTCGGTTGGGAGTTTGTCATCCCCACCGTCCCGGTCCTCCAGCTCAGGGCACCCTGGGTCCCGAAGCCCATCATCGGCAATGAAGACAGAGGCAAAGAAGGCGTTAAGCGTCTCTGCTTTGCCTATGTCATTGTCTGTGAGGAGACCTTCCCTATCAAGGAGCGGCCCTATGTATTCTTTAGTTCTCCTTTTTCCATTCACATATCTAAAAAAACCCTTTTTATTTTCTCTCACAGACACAGCCAGCTTCAACTCTAGGTGTGCTTTAGCCACACGAATTTTCTTCCTACAAACACGAACAGCATCCCTGTATTCTTTCCATTCTTCCTACTGCTGCATAATTCCTCTGTCTTTGGCAAATCCAAATAGACATTTGGCTGGTATTTGTGTGTTTTCCAACTTCAAAACAATGCCTAGATACTACCTCTATTGTATCTGTGCCTCGGAATATTGACAGAATGGAGGTTACAGAGAATCCTTCCTTCCTTCTCATCAACTGTGCAGTAGAGATTTTACTTTTTTTAAATCCTGCTGTACACCCTGCAAAATTTTCAGGATGGCCCAGTCACAGGCCCACCAGCATGTAACTACTTTGTTGGATCTTTATGGGAGAGTGAGGTCAGGGGAAGGCAACTTCCTTGTTTGCTTCCCTCTGCTCCTAGGACATATATGACAGAAACTTGTCACCTAATTATGTCCTTCTGAAGCAAAAGTAGGAAGGAGTTAGAATATCATTTTAAAGAAATCAAAGAAACCGATGGCATAAGCCACTACATTTGTTGGATTTTTCATTTTTATCCCTGCCAACAATCAATAATTAATTAAAAAGCATACCTCAGTTGTCCCTGAAGAGGGAGAAAGCTTTTTTGGTAGCTGCTGCTGCCCCTCTTCCTCTTCTTCCTCCAGTATGCCTTCACTGTTGTCACTCTGAGTAGCTTCATCACAGCTAATACTCCTCTGAACTCCTCGTCTGTCATCAAACTCAGCAGCACTGTTCTCACTGGTATCGCTACAAACGCTATTCTCTCTGCTTCGAGACTTCAAAATTGATTTACGAGGGACATATTCTCCATTCACAACATCAACAAAGACTCTATAAAGGAAAATGTTAGCTTTAATAAACCATTTCAGGATCAGATGACAAATTTACAGCGATCTTGCTTTGTCTTTTGTACAAATTATGATGTGCTTTTCCAACTTTTTCACTGTAGAATTACAATACTGTACCTTTGGAGGCTTTTTATTTACCAACATAGAAGAATCAATTCTGCAGAGCAAACACTGTTACGCCCGTTATTTGAGCATATTCTTTCAGCATAAAACATATAGCTCTTTGAAAAGTGTAACAGGAAACAGAGTAGTGTGGGTTACGAAAAGCTAGAAAAAAAAGGTAAACTAAGCAATTTTCAGGGTTGTTTTTGTAAAGAGAAGCAGGAGGTCAGAATGATAGCTTTCTAGAATGAAGATTCTTTGTCAATTGTAGAACATACAAACAAATACTTCAAACATTCTCTTGCACGTGGAATGGATGAAGCTTTTTCCTGACAAGTGCCATAACCTTCTTTCGTTAAAAAAAACATAATAAAAAAATCAGCTTTTAAAATCAGATCAATATGAAGACACTTTTCAAGTATTAACAGATTGTAATTGATAAAGAGGCTTCTTCCTACAGTTTATACTCCATCTCCATGACTTGAAGAAATCAAGGGTGGGTGGAACAGAATGAGTGGAATTAGAAGACGGAGACAATTTTATTAAGCTCATAAAGGAGGCTCCCAATGACTGGATGAGTTTTAAGGGTGTTACTCGTTTCTTAACAGCTTTATTCATCACACACTCTTGGGAACACTTGTGAATCTATGCAAGATACAGCTTCTTTGCAAAGCTCAGGGAGACCACCAAGAAATAATCCTCTAACTTATCCTCAGCCCCAGCAACTGTAATTGCAGAATAGGTTTTTAATTTCTTACACTTTGTGCCACCAAAAAAAAAAAAAAAAAAAAAAGATATTTAGGTGCCTGAATACACTGACACGCAAATGCAGTGTGATTTTCACAGACACTTAATCAGCCAACCTAATAGGCAACTATGTTCATCTTTACGAATCCATATACTTAACTCTCCCTTAACCTCCGTTTAACATTTTTACAGCCTGAGTACAATGTTACTTGTGGAGCTCTATGAGTGCAGGTATTCTGCAGGCGAGCATTTCTTTTTAGAGAGAAGAGAGACAGCAATGGACTCAAGTTAGGCAGAAAAAATGCAAGAGAAACTATGCGAACAGGAGACCTGAGTATGGTCTGAAGACACTGAAAAGATGAGACTAAAACCAGCAATTATCAAGTGGGAAAGGAGGAGCACTGCCAGTGATAGATTTGGTCAGTTATGTTTGAAAATAAACAAGAAGTGCATTGACAAGACATTAATGACAACACATACCAAATCGCTGTATTACTTTATGCAGATGATAGATACTAGCAAATTGAGGTAAATTTCAGAAGCTCTGAAAAAGTGAATAAACGATTAACTGGTAGCTGGAAAAGAAAATTTAAGCTAAGAAATATTTTATGGATATGAAAATATGGCAACCATGCAGAAGCCACAAACTTTCACGCGTAAGTAGTAAATTCAGTTCTATCGGTTTCTTTCAGGAAACAGTAAGATTGTTTGCATGCTGTAGGTGAACGCAAATAAAAAGAGAAGGTCTGCTATGAAGAAAGTTCACGTGCCAATGCCGTAAATTACACACCGGTAAATGTCTGCTGGGGTTTTGATGTTAGGCAGTTCTGGAGTCGCATGGCCATTGCCATTACTGTTCTTCCTTTTACGCTTGGCTTCTTCTTTCTTCTCACTGAATTTCAAAGTAGTATTTTTTCCTGTGTTTATTCTTACCTGAAAATGGAACACAAATGGTGGTCTAGACCATAAAACCAACAATTACTCAGATCAACTGAGTTCTGATGTTCTCCTATCCAAGCAGTTGAGGACTATGAAGCATAGACGAGTTAAATATATGTATGAACAGTAACATTCATAGTGTGAACTGTTTATTCTTTAACATTTGCACTTGGCTGGGGAATTTCTTTGCACTAATGTGCACAGATTTTGCATATAGCCTATGACTATCTACTTGTGCCGTTCAACAGTCAATTTCATGTTAAGTAAAGTCGTTTTAAAAACTCAGAGACAGGATACTATATTTTGGAACTGCCTGAAACCAGTACAGCAAGGTATACATTTGAATATCATTTCTAATACTGCACTTAAAACTTCAGGATTTAAATGGTAGGTTTCAAGCCTTTCAAAAAGTGTAAATAAATGTCATCTATATTTAGCTCTCTACAATACCTACATAATCTAAAATATGCTATTTTAGATAAAGTATACTGTACATATGTTTTATGCAATCTCTTGACAGAAACATGTCAGTAAATGTACAAACCCTTTTAGGTTCAACAGTATGAGAGAAAAAAATAGTTGGAATAGAGCTATCTCCAACATCTATGTCATCTTCGTCATCACTGTGATAAAAAGTAGAGCCATTAACTTGGCCACCATACAAGTCTGAATTTGTTACTTCTTTCTGGAAGTTGCCCTGAGTAATACAGTCTTCTGCTCTGTACGTCCCATTCAGATCCATCCTCTTATCCTCTCTCTCCTCTTCAGAAGAGGTTGTATCTTCTCCATTTGTCTCAACTGTATCAGGCGTTCTATTAAATGAGAAACATCTCCGTGAACCAAGCAAGGCAATTCACACTCCTGAGAGACACTAGCATACAAATAATAAACAAGGCTACATTTTTCTTCACCCAGGTACTACATTTTTAGCCAGATTATGGAATGTTTTTCATACTTGGGGTGAATGTCCATATCCTTTCCATATCAACTAGAAACACCAAAAATGTGACATTCTGGCTAATGACATAAGTATTGCTTTAGGGTAAGAACAGATCTGAGCGTGTCTTTAAACATTAAATGCCTAACTCCAACATTGTAAATGAAGGGTTTTCTTAGCCTGCAGGAAATGAATTTTACTTGCCCCATTTCTACCATCTCAAAGAAAAAAACCTGTAACACTGGATTGCAACAGTTGCATAGAGGCAGATTCTAGCACCTTTAGCTTTGCAGTGCACGCTTCATGTTCCGTCCTTCTTCCACCTATTACAATTTCAACTGCATCTATCTCGTCACCTGGTTTAACTTACTATCGGATCCTTTCTGTACAAACAAACACACCCTACAGCTTTCTGAACTCCAAACCTGACTGTGCTATAGCACCACTATACCTGTCAAGTTCACCAAGTATCTCTTCTTGTCTCTCAAGCTCTTCTAAGCGGGCCCAGAGTTCCTCCTCCGACTGATAACAGCCCACTGATTTCATGTCATTTCCATTTGTTGCAGAATCTACCTCAAAACCATTTGATACTTTTGGCTTTGAATGAGGTTTGTGAGCTCTTCTGTATTTCCCTGTACAAGAAAAAAATAAAGAAGATGCAATTACTAATACAATTTAAATAAATAAATAAATAAATAAATAAATAAATAAATAAAATGGAAAGCACAAAGAAATTAAGGAATTTAGAAAATTTTCCATTCCAAATTACTGTTTAACTGTTAAAGTGGAACTGTCAATGAATCAGAGCACCATCAGAGGATAACAGTCTCTGGATGTTATAGAAATACCAGGGCAAAGCAGAGATGTTTGTTTAGAAAGCAGGAGACACTGATCCTATGACATCTATGACATTTTTTATTATATTGTTGGTGGGTGTTTTGGTTTTGGTTCTGTTCTTTTTACCTTTTATGCCAAACAGTAGACTTTGATTTGACCTGATAGATAACAGCATGTGAACGTGACATTTGCTCACTGTCCTATTAATAGCATATTTTATTAACTGTAAAAACAAACCTAATTTGTACTTTAGCTCATTTTGGACAAAGGCATATATATATATATATATAAAGAGCACTATCTTTTGTTTTGGGTTTCTCCCCCCCCCCCTTTTTTTTTTCAATTTATAATGAAGATCATTAAAAATTATCTCCAGAGTAATCTGGAAAATCTGACCAAAATCCAGTCAGTACAAATCATTTGTTTTGGTGAAAAAGATCCACTTTCAAAAGTGTACAAAAGCCTGTCTTTCAAAAACAATACATACAACCCACCTTAAAGTTTCAGAGGTGACCTGAGATGCACACCTGTGAGTAAACAGTAGTCACAGACAAGTTTTTGCTGGCACTTAAAAGCTTTGCTATCTGGACAAATGGTGCATACAGCACTGAGGATGGGGAATACTTTTTCCTGCTTGCATACTGTCTAGCACATAGAGAACAAACAGCCTGAAACACTAACACTTTAGTGCTGTCTGTCTGAAGGACAGCACTGCTTCTTGAATCCCCCTTGGCTCTGGGGCACAGCCTGCTCCCTGCATGGTCCCAGGCAGGCTGGGGGGGGGGGAGGGGGGATCCCCCATCCCTGCTCATCAGCACTCCCAGCGCAGGTCCTGCACTTCCAAAAAGGAGGGGAGACCCTTCCCCCTCTGTCACTGCCACAAACGCCCGACATTGTCTCTCTATGGTCTTTATGAAACTCTGCTTTTTGCATCTAGCCAACAGTAATACAATTTCTTAATTATTCAACATGCTTAAAGCTTAAAAGTGTCTTTTTATTAACCAATTTTGTGGCCTTTTTTAAGAACTCATGTTTTAAAGATATCCTTATTCAAATATGTCATTTTGTACTTTAATCCCGAGATAAATACAAATGCAGTAGCAACATTAAGCAGCAAACAGGTGACTGTAAGTTATGTTAGAAAGTGTGTCCCCTACTGTTCCACTGGATAGTCTTTTTTATTGTGTCATTAATTAAAGGTTGAAATATATTTCATTAAGATTTAAATATAAATTGAGGGAATCTAAGCAATCAGAGTGGTTTTCAACTGGTATAATTACAAAACTAGTAAATAAAATTTGGAAGGATTACTTATCAATCTATTTCAACTTGATTTTGAGGTTGTGCCCTCCCAATTTCTTTCTGTTCTCCTTCAGCATTAACCACTGACTTGACCACCAAGGTAACCACATGGCTTCCTGAACATCTGCGCTTCAGCACACCAGTGCTTTTCCCTCCTAATTCTGACAAAAATTCTGCCAGTTAGGAAACCAGGTCAGAGCTCAAAGACAACAGAGGATAACCACTTGCTGCTCCAATACACACTGTGCTCATTCACTGTTACTACAAAGCACTACCAGTAACTTCATACACTCACCAAAATAGGGAAACATTAAAATCCAGTCAAATGAGGAGTCAGTAATACACTAATGAGATGCTTGGGATGCTTGTTTTTGTCCTCATCGTAGCTACAGCCCATTTCCCTATGAACAAAAATGATCCCCAGGCTGATAAAAGCCCAGCCTGCCTCATAATAATCAGTAAAATTGTTATTTTAGCCAAGTCTCCTGCAATCTCAGTAAAGATCAGTATGGACAGAGAAAATACATACTTCCCACTTAGACATTTTTAGCAAAAATTAAGGTGTTTACAGAGAGCAACACTGGTGGAATTTTAGGATACAATGAAAAGCTATGGAAAGGTTGAGTAGCATCCCCAGTATCCTGCTGGAGTAACACTAGTAGCGTGTTACTACAATGGCTGCATTTCCCAGAGAGTTACATTTTCTGCTTTGCAATGGTATCCATGTGAGCAGAGATGTCCCCTTTAGTCAACCTCCCACTGATTTATTCCAGAAAAGTGTAACACCAACTGCCCCACTTGGCCATCTGCAAATCCCCAACTCCAGCTCCTTCTCAAAACGTCCAGTGGATGATGCTATTTGCAGACTGTGGAAGCACTTCTTCCTCCAACTTTGCCTGAGTCTCACCTGTCAAGCACCACTTCAGCTAGCACAGAAATCAGGCAGTTCCTTATCACAACTATCTGTGCTTCCCAGTGTCCTCTCCAGAAATCTTCAGGAAGTGTCTACTTCAGTGCATTTGCAATGCCTGCTCGTTGAGATTGTCTGTGCATTTGTTTCACTGCCAACAGTGAAATGCCCCAGTGAATAACGATGCTTACCTTGGCCATTTGTCTCAGTCCCTGTCCATGCTCTTCCCCTCCCTTCTGACACTACTCACATGCTTCCCCAGTCCTAAGCAAAGCCTTGTATTTCTTCTGCTGAAACCTCACTCCTCTCTGATTCACAGGATTTCTTCTTGAGTTCTCTCTCCAGGAGCCAGCCTGTTTTATTTTCTAAGTTCTTTCTTTTAAAAAACTCAAAACTCCCAATTTACTCTTCAAGGTAAAAAAAAAAAAAAAAAAAAAAAAAAAAAAATCCCCTAAATTCGTTCAGCTCACGGTTTCCAAGGCTATAGCATTTCATAGCAAAACTGGGTGACAAGATCTGTCTTACCTTCAGTTTAGTAATTCTTAATTTGAATGAATCAATTTTTAATGTGAAAGGCACAGTGAAATGAAATAATTCAGTCAATCCAACACAAGGAGTATTAATCCAACACATGTAATATTTTACTTATTAGTATTTCAATAAGTATATATATAAATTATTAATCCATTTACCTTTTGTTTCAATGCTATCATCTTCAACTTTTTCTCTTATGTCAACAAAATCACCTGCAGCCTAATTAGAAAGATAGGAAGTTATGACCATTAAATGCACCAATTTATGCTTACTAACAGCCCAGTTATTTTGAAAGAATGCATATAAGAAAACATATGAGCAAAAAAAGTTATATGCAAGTCAGGAATTACCACATCATTTATGCCCTGTTATCTACCCAAATATCAATCTTTTTCCAGACTTTTAAAAAAATTACAAAATTAGTTTCACATAAAACAGACACTCACATCACTCATTTTCTGCAAATCTTCTGTGAATTCAACTCGTGATTCAAAATTCTTCATGACTTTTTGCAAATCATCCAGTGCTTTCCTTACAT